CTCTCTCTCTCTCTCTCTCTCTCTCTCTCTCTCTCTCTCTCTCACACACACACACACACACACACACACACACACACACACACACACACAAATACTTACCAGCGAAACCCAGAGCCTTGAGACGCTGATGCACTACAGATGTTTCCAAGAAAGGGCTGGCTATACCCGGTGGGGAACCCCCAAGATATGGCGCCAGGTGAGTGGACTCCTCCACTTCATCTCCAACTTCATCCAGCTCCACCAGCCTTAATCTGTACTGTACCGCTAAGCTGTTGCTTTACTCTCACTCACAGCTTGCAATATATGAAAGAAAACCAAAGACTACCCACCAACTACTGGGCTGGCCTCTGCTATATACTACTCTGCCAGAGAGACAACTACCTGGCCTCCAGCCTACACATGTAGGCCTCTCCTATAGACTTCCCCAATTCGTGGTCACATGGTTTTCCATGACATGGCAGGCCCATGAACCCAAGATCGGATGATGTGGGCATCTGCATGCCCTCCCCTGTCACTTTCTGCCATGGCATGCGATCATGTGACACTCAGGGAGTTTTCTCATTGTTTTTGGCACCTGGCGTACACAAGGTATGTGACTTCAGTCAGTGCACATACAGGTCAGAGCTGTGGAGTTGTGGAGATTGTAGGGTTGATGCCAAGCCTATCCTTACCCCCGTCTCCCGACATTTCATGGTCGCAAGATTTTCCATGACATGATTGGGACAAGCCTATAGCCCATTTCACCTTCGCAAGACAGTGCGCCACAAGGCTGAAGCGAGAAGCTTAGCCCACTTAACCTTTGCAGGACAGTGCACCGCAAGGCTGACGAGAGAGCATATCTTGTTAATGTATGAGTCGCCACCACAGCAGTTGCACCACGGTCCTCTATCGCATACTCATGTTTATTGTGAAGTAGACAGACATAGAGGCTCTTTTCATTTTGTATGTACCTTCCAAACATTGACAGCAGCAATCCCTCAACTTGGGTCCATGCCTGCTCTGGCCCCCATCTTTTCACACACACAGCCCTTCTTCCATCGCTCACGATGCCAAAGGGTGGTTGCAGTCTGACAGTGAAAAGAATAATCAAAAGCCAATGGCCCCCAGCGCCCTTTCCCCCCTTCACCAAAACATCATCCCGTCATTGTCTAGCATTTCCTGTCGACACAGTCCACCACCACATGATTGTGGCAGGTACTGCTCATACTCGACTGAACACAGCAGCCAACACAGCACCAATGGTGGCTGCAGCAGCAGCAATAGAGCGGTGACAACTGATAACGGGGGCCGAGGGGGAACAAAAAGGTCATTCTACACCAAGAATAAGCCACAGACCTTCAAGACAATGCCCCCCGAAAAGACCCACTACCCCAAACAAAGGACGCAGGGTCATATGCACCTCGACCCACTACCCCGAACAAAGGACGCAGGGTCATATGCACCTCAATCTGACCCAAAGAAGACCATTTCAGCCCCATAAACAAGAGAACCCCCCCCCCCCCCCCCTCCTCCCCCTCTCTCTCTTTCCATTTTTGTCCCTCTCAAAGTCAAGTACTCTATGACTCTCGACATCCCTTGCAGCCTTCGGGTTGGGAACAGCCTTCAGCTTGTGAACGGGGTCTACCTGAGCATGACCACCTTCAGCTCCACAAACGACCATCTGTCTCCTGCTGCCATAAGAAAGAGGTTCAGGGATCATGTGAGGCTGAAACGGCAGGCACTCTGGAATGGCTGTGAAAAAAAAAAAAAAAAAAAAAAAAAAAAAGCAGCAGCTACTGGCCACGATTATGATTTGAGCCTTTGACAGATCCAGTTGGCAGCCCCAGTTTCTTGTCATGCAGCTGATATGTGGGCCTCGTCTCCGAGTTTTCTCATATGAGGCAGCCCAGTTCTGCCTTTGCCAAGCCCTTTCTTAGATCAGAATGGCACCATCCCTCATAAGATCTGTGCTCGGCCTGGTGATACCTCCTAGGACTGATCCCCTGCATTTGAGAACCTTTTTCCCGCATCATTCTCCATGATGCTCTCTCCTCCCCCGCCCTGCCAAATGAAGCCTTCCCACGTGGAACTCAGCAACTACGCTGGGACTGGGCCCAAAAAAAAAAGCATACAAATTGCACCGATAATGTGCTAGGCTGCCAGTGCATGGCCTAAAGGACATGCTCTCACGAGGACCACAACAGAGAGATACTACCATGACCCCGGTCTGCAATTTGCCTGGGAGGCTAGGATTCATGGTAGTCTGCCAAAGCAGCAATGGAGAGGTCGGGGCCAAACCAACGAAGAACAGGATGGTCGGGGCCCCCAGACCGAGTCCAGTATGGTCCGGGCCCTCAGGCCGAGTCCAGGATGGCCTGCAATTTGCCTGGGAGGCTAGGGTTCATGGTAGTCTTCCAAAGCAGCAATGGAAAGGTCGGGGCCAAACCAAGCGGAGAACAGGATGGTCCGTGCCCCCAGACCGAGTCCAGTATGGTACGGGCCCTCAGGCCGAGTCCAGGATGGCCTGCAATTTGCCTGGGAGGCTAGGATTCAGGGTAGTCTGCCAAAGCAGCAATGGAAAGGTCGGGGCCAAACCAAGCGGAGAACAAGATGGTCCGGGCCCTCAGACCGAGTCCAGTATGGTCCGGGCCCTCAGGCCGAGTCCGGGATGGTTCAGGCCCTCCAAGTAAAAAGTGAACTAACCCTGTCACAACAGATTTCCCACAAATAAAAGAAGTCACAAGAACTTTTCACAAAAAAGAAATCCCACAAATCGTAGTATGGTAAAACACTATCGACAATTCAATCAAAAGGCTGTCATCGGGGTGCACTGGACAGCATGTCTCCCACAGGGACAGCTCCACAAAGTGATCATCGGCCCTTCAATTGCTCACAATCAATGAATCATTCATCCGTTTCAACACCCACCTTCATTTCCGCATCCATTTCCCCTGATGCATCTGTCCGCGGACTGTGAGGCTCCATCCGCTGCGCTTCTCCCCAGTTCTCTAACCGCCCAGAGACTGCCATCGGTGCTGCCGATGGCGAATTAACCCCGTCAATGCCTGCCCTACTGCTGGGCAAGTCAAACGCCGCATGATGAGTGGAACTCAAACGCGCGCCTGTTGGAGACTCAACGCCAACAGATGAGGCAGACACTGCAGCATTATTATACTGCGAATGTTGCTCAACCTGTACGGGGAAAAAAAAAAAAAAAAAAAAAAAAAGAACACAGGTGTACATAAATAAATGCTTAATTCAATAGGATTCTGCTTAATTAATGAATTAGATTTATATGTAGAATATTTTTTTACATAATACGATATATCCTTCTCTTTTACTACTACAAGAAATTTGACTATCCTCATGTGACCAGCCAGTGGTTAGCACACCAATCTACAGCGATCATTCCCTCTCACCCGGAAGCAGTCCATAAACATACTCCCTTGCACCTCACGCTCTTCCCTCCCTACTTTCCCTCTTCCCTTCTTTGATGCTATGCAGCTTATTTACTTACGTTGGTGATTGGTTCACACAAAGCAGGGCACACAACCTACATGTGCATCGCGTTATCTCCGCCGATAGAAACATCCAGGAGGCAAACAGTGTTTACAGATCTGGCTGTGAGTGTTACGCATTCAAAACAGAACATTGCCGGACAGCTGTATGGCAGAAAACTGTCACGTCGAGTTCGGAGGGTGGGTCTCCCTCCCCCTCCTCCCCTCCTTCCTTCCGTTCGCTTTCCCTCCCTTCCCCCCCCTTCCGATTGCATTGCCTTTCCTTCCGCCATACCATAGTGCCATCACTTATCCCTTTTATTTAGGTGTTCACACACTCACATTCGATTTCATCGACGCTCAAACAGATACTATTCCATCATTTTCACCGCACATCTCCATCAAATGGGACCCCCCTACTAACATAATACGATATGAATATCTAGTCCTGATGAAGTTGAGCAACTTGGCAAATTTGATTCCATCGATCACATCAAACTTCGTTGTTGCAGTCGAAACTTATGAGTCACAGACATTATCACCTACTCCGCTACGCAATACTCACCAGCTGACTATCAGCCTTAGTTTCACCATGTCCACCTCCCATGAGAGGTTTCCCACTCTGAGGAAACAGGCAACAAAATCACACAATAAAAAACAGCAGCGCACGGATGCCGTGCAATCAAATCAATGACAAACTTCAATCAAAACCAGCAGATCACATACGTCAACGCGATCGACCTACTGCCAAACTCCAATATCACTTTGATATCGAAGTCTATTCTACAAGAAACGTTAACTTCCCCACTGTCAGATAATTTCCAAAGCCATTCCGGGAAGTATACTTATATATATATATATATATATATATATATATATATATATATATATATATATATATCGTCACATAGTATACAGTGACTATACACACACACACACACACACACACACACACACACACACACACACACACATATATATATATAATATATATATATCGTCAAACAGAACTGCCCGGTAAACCATAGGCAGAGAGGGAGGAGAGGACAACAAACAAGAGGCAGAACTGCCCAGTAAACCATAGGCAGAGAGGAAGAAGAGGACAACAAACGAGGGACGGTGATATATATATCATCAAACAGAGCTGCCTGGTAAACCGTAGGCAGAGAGGGAGAAGAGGACAACAAACGAGGGCTTTGACAAACTGTTTCGTCGGAGTTTCACCGACTCATCAGGAGGCTGAAATAGATATGTATATATGTTTGACAATATATATATTGTGACAATATATATATATATAGTCAAACAGAGCTGGCCGGTAAACCGTTTGCAGAGGAGCGGAGGACAACAGACGAGGGGCTGTGACAAACTGTTTTGTCGGAGTTTCACCGACTCATCAGGAGGCTGAACCCTCACTATATATATAGTCAAACAGAGCTGCCCGGTAAACCGTAGGCAGAGAGGGAGAAGAGGACAACAAACGAGGGGCTAACAGAGCTACCTGGTAAACCGTAGGCAGAGAGGGAGAACAGGACAACAAACGAGGGGCTGTGACAAACTGTTTCATCGGAGTTTATATATATATCTATATATATATATATGGGCAGTTCTGTTTGTGACGATATATATATATATATATCGTCACTCACATTTATATATGTATATATATGTGAGGCTGAAGCCCCGATGCCCCTTTTCAGCCCCTACCATGCAGCACGCCGGCCGCCCTAAGTGAAGGCAGGCTCAATGAGGGCCTGAGCGCCCTTATTTTGGTCACCACGCAACTCAGGAAATTCAGGCAGTTGCGCAGCGCCAGTTGGTTGAAGGAACCCACACCCTGGGCAGCCTGTGTGAATGTATCGAAGGCAGGCCCTGGGTTGGATTCGGGATGTGGGCCTAACACAGGCCGTTGACAGTTGGGCGCGAGCAACCACTACAGGCCCAGGGCCTGAGATGTGCGGACTGGGCCTCAGCCTACCGGGGCCTACCGGAATCTTCTTGGGAAAGGCCCAGCGCAGCCTGGGACAGCAAGCAGGCAGGCCACTTCCATATAGCAAAGGGCCTGCCTCTGCATGGGGCATTCGGGTGCTGGCTGCATGCTGCGCAAGCGCTGCTGCACTGTAGCTCGCTGGCACTCACGCGCGAGCAGGAAGGAGCAGGCAGCCATAGCCGAGCTGCGCTGCTGTAAGCTGGGTGTGGCGCAGGGTGGTCCTTGGGTGCATGTGGCATCTGTGTGTTGGGGAACGAGGTTGTGAGTGAAGCGAGAGAYATACCTGGTGCTGGAAGCGTGCGGCATTGGCCGCTATCTGCTCGTACTTCGGTGAAGCTGTTGTCGTCATCTTCGGCATTGTAGTATAGGCTAGATAGGATCTGCCATCTGTAGTCTGGGCGCCGAGCGCCAGATAGGATATCAACATTAGTTCTTCGTTGATGATGATGATGGGACTATTTCAGCATTGTCAATTATGAACTCTTGGTGTGCTCTTATTTGGTGAAACTCGTGATGCAATTCTGCCGTTGGTTCGAGGTCACAACTATCTGGTCTCATATGTATGATGCTGTTTGATTGCTGAAGTTCGCTATTGCTCATCTTCCTTGCATATATAGTCAAACAGAGCTGCCCGGTAAACCGTAGGCAGAGAGGGAGAAGAGGACAACAAACGAGGGGCTGTGGCAAACTTTTTCATCGGAGTTTCACCGACTCATCATAGATAGATAGATATAGATATAGATATATAGATGTATATATATTGTCAAACAGAGCTGCCCGGTAAACCGTAGGCAGAGAGGGAGAAGAGGACAACAAACGAGGGGCTGTGAGAAACTGTTTTGTGGGAGTATATATATCATCAATATATATCGTCAAATAGAACTGCCCAGTAAACCTTCGGCAGAGGGGGCGAAGAGTACAACAAATGAGGGGCTGTGACAGACTGTTTCGTCGTAGTTTCACAGACTCATCACGAGGCTCAATATATATCGTCAAACAGAGCTGCCCGGTAAACCGTAGGCAGATAGGGAGAAGATATATATCTATATATACATTATAGCTGGAATCCTGGAAAGATTCCCTAAATCTAAGAACAAACAGACATCAGAATCACACAATCAGATGGGAGCACCAACTATGTAAGAACAGTCAAAAAATCAACAAATGCCGAATTCCGATCGGATCCATTATCTCAAAGTATATGTCTCACTGTTCAATCCCTACACATCCTTCAACAGAATACTGGCAAAATCCAAAATAAATACAAGACCACACAGTGGTATTAGCACCAAAAAAAAAAAGGTCCAGGAACATACAAAGGGGACCACGAACAGATGAAGATCTGATCAAAGTTCACCAAAGATTTTTGTGACAATTCATCATTCCCTGCAGGGGAAAAAAAATACAAAAAAACACAACAACCCCCATGGCCTCGACCGTGCAACATAGTGGTCAAGTTAAAAAAAAAAAAAAAAACAGAAAAGGGAGAACTCTGTCCTCCTTTCATTGCAGAATCCCACGTGCACTGATAGCTCCAGAACTTCCACTGCATACAAAATAGAAAACACATGATGCTATGAATCACACGCAGTGAGCAGAAGTTAAAAGAACCCACTGCGAGTTACAAGCACTATTCATCAAACTGCAAGAAAAAGAAAAAAAAGGTCCAGTCCCAAATGCAGCTTGCCTCCTTGCACCTGAATACAATTAAAAAAGGGTGAATAACCCAAAATAAAAGGATCAATAACCCAACAAAAAAAGGGGAAAAAATGATCAATGATTAGTACCACCAGTTAGGATTACAAAAAAAATAAATGCCTTCGAAGAGGACCAAGAAGAAGAAGAAAAAGAAGAAGAAGAACCAATAAGAACAAAAAGAAAGAAAAAGAAAAGGAGGACCAAGAAGAACAAAAAGAAAGAAAAGAAGAAGAAGAAGAAGAAGAAGAAGAAGAAGAAGAAGAAGAACCAATAAGAACAAAAAGAAAGAAAAAGAAAAAAAGGACCAAGAAGAACAAAAAGAAAGAAAAGAAAAGAAGAAGAAGAAGAAGAAGAAGAAGAAGAAGAAGGACCAGAAGAAGAAGGACCAGAAGAAGAAGGACCAGAAGAAGAAGAAAACAAGAAGAAGAAGGACCAAGAAGAAGAAAAAGAAAGAAAAAGAAAGAAGAAGAAGAAGAAGAAGGTGTTTAACGAACCCACCTCCTCAGAGGTATCGAAAGAAGGTACAAGTGTCAATCTGTCTTTCCCACAAGGCGATGCAGAAGTCGCAACACCATCTGAAGCAATCAGCAAACACAGTACAAACAGCAGGATCACAAAAGAGTATAAATCGTGAATTTCTGCATTCCTCAGGGTTTTCAAAGTCCTGGCAAGGCTATTCCTCCCGCGGGGGGGGGGGGGGGGGGGGGGGGGGTTTGGGGGGGGGGGGGGGGGGGGGGGGGGGGGGGGGGGGGGGGGGGGGGGGGGGGGGGGGGGGGGGGGGGGGGGTCATTTTGGACAGGAGTGAAGAGGGCACCAGGTGGGGTGGGGCAAGGGAGCAGCGGGGTGGGCAGGAGCAGGTGGGGGAACCAAAGGTCTGAACTTTGAACCCTTGGGTTATTTGTCTCAGCCACTGAAGGGCAAGGGCCATGCTCACACACAGACTGAAGTGGATAAATCTAAGAGCAGTGCGCACCATGAAATCAAAATAAACGAAGGGCATACTTGGACATTCTTATCTCCATCTGACCATGATTGAAGTCAGATACGTTTAGTATGGATCATACCCCAGGCCACGTGGATATTCACATGAAATCAAAATTAACGCTCTCAACAATACAGTCCAGGGACGTGATTCCAGTACTGTCTTCCCCCCAATAGAATGTCCTGTCATTATAACTGTATTTGGGGCAAATATTCAGTCTAGAGCTGTAATTGGGGCAAATATTCAGTCTAGATTCAGCGATAATGACCGAACGTTCGAATCGGGGGAAGACAGTGGCCACAATTAAGCATACCTCAGCATCAATGTTGCAGATCAATGGTCATAAGTGCCTAATCCCGGTGGATGGGATTGCGCCAGCTGCTTGATTGTACCTTTGCCATCCAAATTCGGGATCATCAGTTCAATTAATAATAATTTAATATAATATCCACTACCAGCCACACTCAAGAACCTCTCCCAAAACCAACTTCCGAAATGAGTAAATTGGGGGAGAACGAAAGAAAACGTGGAGAAGAAAAAGAGATGGGCAAAGGGGGAAAGGTAGCTAATGCTAACGATACACACAAATGCCGTCTTTTACAAAGATCCTTTCACAAGGCAGCTGGCACCACGATGCCCTGCCCGATCGGCAGATACGTTCTGCAAAACAAAATCCAGGTAAGCTCGTCACCGGAGGGACCCTTTCAAATTTGCCCTTCCGGAGGGACCCTTTCAAATTTTCCCTTCTGGAGGGACCCTTTCAAATTTGCCCTTCCGATTGTTGTTTGACTTCTCGAATGTGTACAACAGGGAGGACTGCAAGTCCAAAGGTTACGAAGACAAAGAGGACGAGAGAGGGAAGGGAGGCAAGAGAACTGAGCAGGAGCAAGAACGAGGAGAGAAGGACAAAGACAGGATAACCATGAGCAGGAGGAGGGAGAAAGAGGTGACGCAAGAACGACAGTGAAAGCCTGGGAGGATTGGAGGAAGAAAGCGGAGGAGGCAGAAGTAGGAGGTGAGAGAGATAGGAAGAGGGATAGTCAGGAGGAAGGGAACATGGGAGAACGGAGAAAAGGGAGGATAGGGGAGGATGGGAGAGGATGGGAGAGGATGGGAGAGGATGGGAGAGGATGGGAGAGGATGGGAGAGGATGGGAGAGGATGGGAGGCCATGGAGGATGGAGAGAGGAGGAAGAGATAGGGGGGAGGAATAGAGGAAAGAGACAGGGGGGAAGAATAGAGGGAGACGATGAGAGGGAGAGGTAGGAGGATGGAAGAAAGTGGAAGAGGGAGAGATAAGAGAATGGGCGAAAGTGGAGGATGCAAGAAAGTTGAGATGAGAAGAAGTGGAGCGAGAGAGTGGAGGATCGAGACGGTGGGGGAAGAGAGTGGAGGAGGGAGAGATAGGAGGACGAGGATGGGAGAGACAGGAGGATGGCCAAAAGTAGAGAAGGGAGAAATAGGAGCAAGAGTAACGAGGAGGGAGAGATATGAGGAGGGAGTAGAACGCGGCAATCATAAATACCACGGCAAAGAAGTGGAAGAGCGATAACGGGGAAGGAGAAGGAGGAGAGAAAGAGGAGGAACAAAGTGCAGGGCGGAGAAGGAGGGGGAGGTAGTTAGGAAGGAGTGGGAAGTGGCATCTTATAAATACCACAGCAGTGAAGTGTGGCTCAGTACCTTCTTGTCCCAACTCAGGATCGTCATCAAGTGCAAAGTGCAGAGGATGATCCAGCTCTGCCAAGTCGTAGTCGCCTACATTGTCACGGCTCGCATCTGGCGCAAAGCTGTTTCTGGAAAATGAATCTGGTCAAGGATGAGCAACCCGAACTTCCCAAAAAAGTCGAACTGAAGAGTAAAAGGGGGACAAGTAACCAATCGCATGTCTAACTTTACAAAAATAAATTAATAAATACTAAATAGATAAAAATTCATAAAATAATTAAAACTTAAGAAGAGGCCTCTTGCAATCTTACAAAAAGGGCAATACAACACAAGCGGCAACATTGGAAAAGAGGGAAAACAATTGAGCATAGTAGCACAGCTGGCTGGGGTGAGTTTTAAGTTTTGGCAAGAATTGTGTTGATGAGAAAGAAAGAAAAAAAGAAAAAAAGAAAAAAAAAGTTGCAAAAGATGAGCTGATCTCACGAAATAGTATTAGAAACTCTGAAAAATTGTGAAAATCTATGTGCCATGTGAAACATTAGAAAATATATACTATGTCAAACATTAATATTAACCACAATCGGGGTTAAGGTGGATTATCCCTTACAGTGTAATCAGTTAGGGGATTCTGCAGAGTGTTGAGGGTTCAGCCTCCTCCTGATGAGTCGGTGAAACTCGGACGAAACAGTTTGTCACAGCCCCTCGTTTGTTGTCCTCTTCTCCCCCTCCCCCTCCCTCTCTGCCCCTACGGTTTACCGTAGGCAGAAACAGAGCTGCCTACGGTAAACCGTAGGGGCAGAGAGGGAGGGGGAGGGGGAGAAGAGGACAACAAACGAGGGGTTTACCGTAGGCAGCTCTGTTTGACTATATAGTCAAACAGAGCTGCCTACGGTAAACCGTAGGGGCAGAGAGGGAGGGGGAGGGGGAGAAGAGGACAACAAACGAGGGG